TTTTGGTATGCAATGTCATGTTATAGTTACTGTGGCTTCTGGGTAACTTTTGTAATCAGGCTATGGAAAATTAGAAGTCTACCACTACCAGCTTTATCTTCTCCAAACTATTTTGGTTTTTCTAGGCCCTTTGGATGTTCATATTAGCTTCACAAGTGTTGCAATTTCTACAAAATCTTATATTTTCCAGGGGACTGTACTAATCACTAGATCAAATACTAAAAAATTAGCACTTTCCTGTGAGCATTTACTAGCTCTCCATTTATTAGTTATTTACATTCTTTGTTTTATGTGCAAGAGGCAAAGTGTCTCTGTGAACCCATAGCTCACCAATTCCAGCTAGTTAAGCCAGCTAGCTTGCATGAGGGATCCCTTGTCTCTGCCTCCCCGGTGCTATTAAGAGCAGCCAGACATCCAGCTGAGTGGTGAGTTTTCTGTGGGTTCTGGGGATCCAAACTGCAGTCCTCACACTTGTGCAATAAGTTCTTTATCAAATGCTAAGCCATCTCCCCAGGTGTCCCCATCAAATGTTCCTTCTAGCTCTCTAGCATCCAATTATCACTTCCTAAGAGCACAGGGTGTATATGTATTTGTTGGGCTTCCAAGTGGAACTAATGTCAAACTTTGTGGGGGTGGGGTTAATTATCCTTGTATTCAGAGTACCCAAGGATTAATTGATTCTTTCTCCTTTTTCTGTCCCTCTCCCTTCCTCCCGTCCCTCTCCCTTCCTCCTTTGCTTTCTCCTTTTTTTTCCCTTCTCTTTTTTACAAGGTCTCACTATGTAATCTCATAATCCTCCTGCCTCAGCCTCCTGAATGCTAAGATTACAGGTGTATGCCACCACACCCTGCTTTCCTTTTTTTAAAAAATATTTTTTTTATTTATGTGTATGAGTGTATTGCCTGCATGTATGTGAGTGCACCCATATCAAACAATGCCTCGGAGGTCAGAAGAGGGCATCAGGTTCCCTTGGAACTGGAGTTAAGGACTGTTAGTAGCTGCCATGTGGATGCTGGGACTCCAACCTGGGTCCTCTGCAAGAGGAGTCAGTGCTCTTAACCACTAAGCCATCTCTCCAGCCCCCTTCTTTTTTTAAAATAGTGGCCACGTTTTGCCACTATTCCAATCAACCACATAGGGTTTACTCAAGGTATCCTAGCACTTTGCCTATATCTGGCACCAGAACAGGCATTTGCTAAGACTCTTCTCTGAATTAAACAGAATGGTGAATCTCAAATGCAGAGAAGTTACTTCCCTATCAAAGGGAAGAAAACTCTGAGAATCAAACACTCCCTAGATGTGCAGTGTTAGTTAGCAGGAAAGCCAAGGTGAAGGCAAGAGGGTGAAGGGAGTTGGGAGAATTATCCCAGCCAGATGGGTACAGAGGATCCTGCTTATTTCCTTCCTTATTCAAGTCTCCAAGAAATGAATAGTGCCACCTGCTGACTGGGCTCTCTGCACTCAGTGGAATATGTAGGGGTTGGAGGCCAGGTTCAATAAATGATGCATAAAATGTTGGGTCTCCAGCAGGTCCAAAATAATGGATTATTGAGCCAAAATTGACTAAAACAGCTACAGGAGAGTTCTCTTCCCTGCTGTGAGTGGACTCTGTCAGAAATAAAGACTTGCATGTTTGTGCTGTTCTGCAGTGTCGACATTTATTGAATGACAATAAAATCAAAAGCCGAATCAATTTCATCAAGCACTACTGTTTTTACTTGGCAGCCACCGCCATCAGCAGGCCGTCGGCAGTTCCGGTTCTTTCATTCCAATCTTAAGCACTGCTATTAACTCCAACCACACATTAACAGGTTTGAATATGTGTTATGTATATGCATATGTATATATTACAGGCAGAGATTGTGGAGTTCAAAGTGGCCCTGCTGAAGGCAAGAGCCAGAGAGCTGAGACAGATGCAAAGAGACTTTAAAGAATCCAGTGGCAGAGTGGTTCCAAGTGGGTCCAGGTGGACAGCCATTCAAGTGGGCAGTGCCTGGCAGGGGATTGTGTGGAGTTCAACTGGGCAGTGTCAAACAAAGTCCTGTGGACAGAGTTAGAAGTTTGTCTCCTTCAGATCCCTGACACATGCACCAGAAGTTCTGATGATGACTGGGTGCTGCTGTACCCCAGGATTAGGTGACCCTCCTATATGATCCTGGTGAGGGAATTACATCATGCATTGGTCTCTCATGCTTTATAAATCCACAAGCCTGGGTTTTCCAATATGGTCTTGACAGCTGTGTCCATGTGTTCCTGATTTAATCTGAGTTTACAGGTGCTAGTATTTTATTTTCATAAATAGATTAACAGTCTTGGCCTCATGGTTTGTCCTGATCACCCATCTACACTCAAAATAGCACAACCTGAAAACTCTATTTTGTACTGGGGATCAAACCCCGAATCCTTTTCCCTTTGTCGGCTCACTTCTCTAGAAAACTATGAGGTATAAGTTGGAATTCAAAGCCCTCCTCTTTTGAGAGCTATTTATTCCCTGGGTATATGAAATATACGTATCGATAAATTCCCTTTTTTGTAATTTTTTTAAACTAAGAATTTGGGGGTGCTGAAGAGAAACCGGTACAAACGGATGGAGGGGCACTGACACGTGCTGCGATGCTCAAAAGGAGTTTAAGGAGGTGCCTACCTTAACTTGGAAAGGCAGTTTTGTGGCCACAGCATTTGCTAAGACCAACGGTGACCAAAGTGCTAGTGAGCTTTGGGAGGACTGTGGTGTCGGGTGCTCACGCCAGTGAAAGCAGAGATGGGACTGAGACAGTCTGTGTTTGTTCTTGGCCAAGAGCTCAACCGCTTGGTGTCTTCCGCTCCTCCCCTTCCTTCTCCGGGTTGGCCATGAGTGTCAGGCGGGTGGGGAGACTGACCCAGCAGTGTGTCCACGTGTGTGCCCTGCAGGGCCAGGCTCCTCCCCAGCGTCTTCTGCCTGGGTCGCCAGGGGGCGGGTTGCGTCTCCCGGAAGACAGGCCAAGGCAGACCTGGATCGCACACCCAGCCCCGGCCCAAAGTAGGTGGATGCCCGGCTCTGCACCGTGGAAAGCTGGTTGGAGTGCCCTGTGAGCTTGGCGGGTCCCTACCCTAGGTCTCCAAGTCCTTAGCGCAGATCACACCTGCTCGGCCTGGAGAACCCAGCCGGTCCTGCAGACCTCCCTGTCCCGGCTCCTCCCCGCGCCGCGGCGAGGGGCTGGGGACCGCGAGACCCCATCGGCCTGCTCCGGGCGTGGATGCTGGGTGCCCGTCCTGCGTCCCTGCCCCGCTCGGAGCCGGGGACTGGCCGCCTTTGGGGCCCAGGCGGTGCCGCGGGCCCAGGCGGTGCCGCCCACCCAGGCATTGGCGCTCGGCGCTGCTCTTCCTGTGACCTGGGCTGTGGGAGGAGAACCTGGTGTGCGCCCCGAGAAAGCTGTGCCAAGTTGGGGAGCCCCTCAGAAGAGCTGGCAAAGCAGAATTAAATTGAGGAAGTGGGGTGGGAGTTTCCACACTGCTGGCGGGAAGACCAGCGATTACTTGCATCAAGTGATAGAGGCTGTCCCTTAAAACAGGAAAATTCCAGAGCATTTATGATAGACTATATCTATATTTATATCTATTTATATTAGGGTTGGCCACCAGCCAGGATTTGGTTTGAGTGCTTTGTCGACCTTAGGCCCTCACTGGTGGGTCCTGTGACGTGATTACTGGCGCCACCAGTCGCAGATGAGGCGTGGATGAGGAACTGCTTACCTAAATGAAGGCTCCTACTTCTGCAGGCAGAAAGACCCTGAGGCTCGTTCCTCCTTAGCAGTGAAGATGGAGACCCTAGAGGCTCTGCTTGCAGGCACCTGCACTTGTGACCCCTATTCTCCCCTCCCCTTAGTGCCCACCATCTGTTTCAGTCCTCCAACCTTGTCCCGTCCATCACACCACAAGTATTATGGCAGTGATCAGCTTGGGAAACAGCCTGGCTTTTTGAAATCGAGGTCATCAGGGGTGGGGAAGAATGTTGGTGACCTCCGAGTCTGCAGAATGAAAAGCTGCAGAAATGGAGCAGGTTAAAGCTGCAGTGGGTTAAAGCTATTTAAATGTCTAAGCATGTCTTGATACTCACAGGCTTCACAGATGGATTAAACTAGTCAGGGACACAAGGGATAAATGAGCCCAGACTTGCAGGGAGGAGCAGATGTGTGGAGACCAGCTTAGTTCTAGTTACTGGGGAGGCTGAGGTAGCAGGGTTACTTGAGTTCAAGAGTTCAAGGCTAGCCTGGCCAATATAGTGAGATCCCCCCCTAACCCTTAACAAAAAGGTTGGGGAGGGCTGGGGAGACAGTTCAGTCAAGTGCTTGCACTATGTTTGATCCCCAGAATCCATATTTTAAAAAATGATGTGGGGACACACCCTTGTAATCTGAAAGTTGGAGAAAGGCAAGTCCCTAGGGCTTAGGGCAGCCAGCCTAGCCTGGCCTGACCCCCAGCCCCAGGGCCTAGTGAGAGACCCTGTCTCATATAACAAGGTGGAACCGATGGTGGCTCCGCTGCTGAAGCACTTGCCACTTAAGCCTGATGACCAGTGTTTGAACCCCAGAACCCACATAAATGTGGAAGGAGCAAAATGACTCCACAGAATTGTCGTCTGACCTCCATGCACGCACCATCACACATCATATACACACAATAATAATAAATAAAAATTTAAAAGTAAACAAGGTGGGACAGTAAACACATGAGGTCCTCTGACACACACACCCCTGCACACACATGTGTGCTCCCCCACATGAACACATGCACATTATACATATAGACACACAACATAGAAAGGTTGGTGGAAGCCCTTAAACAGGCCCGTGTTTTGTCTTTTAACAGTTGTTCACCCTTCCTCAGAGGGAATCCACAGCACCTACCACCTGCCCAGGCTCAACCTTCATTCAGGACATGGACAGTGGCTCTGGTGAAGGCCCACAAAGAGAAGGCCTCAGAAAGCCAGACCCGAAGTTGCCCAAGCTGTATGGAGTGGGGGATCCTACTGCTGCATTCTTCTCTGATAGCTCCTGCCTGTCCTCTAGAGGAAGAGTCATCAAGTGGTTCTGGGACTCAGCTGAGGAGGGCTACAGGACCTACCACATGGACGAATATGAGGAGGACAGGAACCCTGGTGTGAGTGAAGCTCCTCCCTCAGGACCCCAGGGCAGGCATCTACCCTGACCTACAGGGCAGCACCCAGCTTGTGCCTGTCAGGCTGGAGTTATGATCCTCTGGTTCCAGGAGGGATTCTCATATAACTCATAAAGGTCCCAGTTTACTGGCCCATTTATAGTTAAGGAGACTCAGATTTGTGAGGGAAGAATTCAAGAAACATAGAATGCTCACCCCTGCCCAACTATTCAACTTTGTGGTTGTTTTAATAAAGTTGACTATCTAATCCAAGGCCTTGCACATGTTAGATAAGTGCTTTACCACTGAGCCCATCTCCAACCTCAGCTGTTTCATGTTGGAGCTGGGGTAGATTCAGGTCACAACTCTTTCTTATTGTTGATCTGATTTCTTAACCTCTTTCAAGTTTAGTTAATTTCTGAGATTGGATAATAATGTCTGCTCTGTAGAAGAGTCCATGTCATATGAGAGCAGGGGTGTGCAGTTATTGACGGTGCTTGTCATATAGTACACCTGATAAATAGTAACTGCTATGATTATTAATCTGTCTCAATTATCATAAGCTATTATGAGTAATACTTTGTAGGTCAGAGAGCTTCACAATAATCCTGTAATCTATTTGTTGAGCATCTACTAGTATTGCATCAGTGGGCAAAAGTGAAACTCTGCCCTATGTATTTATAGTTTAGTTGAGACATACAGTGAACAAAGGTATGTATACTATCTACTGGTAAATACTGCAGAGAAATTGAAGACAGGGTGAAGTAGAGAAGGCATGATGGGGTGGGGGTGCTGCTATTTAATATAAGGATGTTATGGAAGGTATTTTAATAAGGTTACATTTGTAGAGACTTGAAACAAGTGAGAGATTATATTATTTATTCATTGCTGAAATAAATCACCCCAAATCTCAGCAACTTAGGTAACAAACATTTCCTAATCGCTGGGGTTCAGGACTCCTGGTGAGTGTCTTGGGATCAGGGGCTTCTATGACAACACCCCAAAGCTGTGGTCTCATCTGAAAGCTTGACTGGATGGGAGGACATGGACAGGTGAGAGGCTCCATCTCCAAGCTCACTTATGTGGTTCCTGGTGGACTTTAGTTCTTCCTCACATGGGCTTTTCCCCAGAACTGCCTCAGACATGGCACTTGGCTCCCTCCAGGGCAGATGACCCAAGAAAGAATGAGAGATCATGAGAACCCATGATGGAAACTACATGCTTTTATAACCTGAGCTTAAAAGTGGCATCCCATCACTTCTGCATATTCTGTTCATCAGAAGCAAGTTGGTAGATATGGTTTCCATATAAGATATGAGAATGTCAAGGAGCCATGGTCGAGGCTGCCCTCCACCAGGACTGAGGCATGAAGCAGCCGGAACAGTGAGCACAAAACAGATCCAAGCTGGATCTGTGCTGGAACAGACCAAGGAACAACAAAGGAATCACTGGGGCTTCAGTAAAACCAGGCTGGTATGTGATGGGGTCAGAAAGGCCATTGATATTGTAAGGCCTCGTGGGATCTAGAGAACCTTTTTCTTTTGTGTGTAGACAAAGTAGAATAGGAGGGATTCAAGGAAGGAGCAGTACGATGTAATTTCAGCTTTTTAGACAACTTGGACTGCCGTGTGCAGACCAGATGACAGATGAGGGAGTGGGCAAGAGAGGAGGTGGGATGCTATTGTGATCTGGACAAGAAATGCTGGTGGCTTAGACCAGGGTCTCAGCAATGGAGCATGAAAAGTGGTGGGCTGAGTGGTGTGATGGTAGAACTGTTAAATTTGTAGATGGCTGTGGGTAGAGGATCTGCCACTTGGTTTCCCAGGGTGGTGAGCATTGCTTTTTATTTGTCTAAATCTCAGCTTGTTCAAGTTCAAGTGCTTTTTATTTCCCCGTCCTTCACTCCCTACCACGAGACAGGGGTCAGGAGTCAGTGCTGATCATGAGAACTGAGGCCTTATGGGGTGGCGATCAGATGTGCCCTGTTACCTGAGTCTCCTAGGGAATCATTTATATTGAAATGGGGGCTCCTTAGAACTTCTCTACCCTTGTTTCTGTTCCTGGTCCAATTTACAGTGTTCTTTCATTCTATAAATGTTTCTAGATTCCTGCCAAGCCCCTTAAGCACTAGTATCTTGGGTATGAATCTACCTTCAGAGAGCTTTCCATGGGGCCAGGAATTAAGTGATTTTCTAAAGAAGAGACAGAAAGCTGTGGGACCCTGAGGAAGCAGAGCCCTTCCAGGTGGGGCTTGTGGGAAGGTAGCAATTAGAGTGTTGGAAGTGGAAGATGGGATTTAGGAGCTGGGTGAGGGCCCAGCTTGAGCAAGGACAAGGAAGAGTGGTGGAAGGGTAATGCAGAGGTGCCCGTTTTGCTGTCTGGGCGTCTCAGGCCTACTGTTGACACTCCTCTGCCATACTCAACCTGCTCTTCTCCTTGTCTGCAGGGCATCATTAACCTGGGCACCAGTGAAAACAAGCTCTGCTTTGACCTGCTGTCCAGGAGGGTGAGTACTGGGCACCCTGGGCAGCATCACCAGCTCTAGGGCTTCTTGGACCCTCCCATCCCCCCAGAGCCTGCTGCATGCCTCAGAGGCCCTGGCCTTCGAACTTCAAGATTTTCCTTTTTTTTTCTTCCCCTCCCTTTCTCTCCACCCCCCTCTCTCTCTCCCTTCTTCCCTCTTCTTCTTTCCTTCCTTTTTTCCCATTTGCTTTTGGTTTTGTTGTTGGGCTTTTTTGTTTTTGTTTTTTTGAGATAGCATCTCACTCTATAGCAAGGCTGATCTGAAACTCACTGTGTAGCCCAGGTTAACATCCAACTAGTTAACTCTGCACGACCCTTTCACCACTCTTCCTTGTCTTTGCTCAAGTGAGTGATCCTCCTGCCTCACTCTCCTGAGTTCTAGGATTACAGGTGTTTACCACCATGCCTGCCTGGTTAATGTGGTGCTAGGATGGATCCAAGGACTTTGTGCATGCTGGGTAAGCACTCCCCAAAGAGCTATATTCCTAGTCCTTAACTTTTTTTTTGGTCTTTTTTGAGACAGGTCTCCCTATACCCCAGCTAACCTAGAATTCACTATGTAGACCAGGCTTGCCTTGATCTCACAGTGATCCACCTTGCCTCTGTGTCCTGAGTGCTGGGACTAAAGGTGTGTACCACCATGCCTGGCTAATTTTTTTGTACTGGAGATTGAGCCTAGTGCTCACACATGCTAAACAAGCACTCTACCACTAAATAACATCTTCAACCCTCTTTCAACTTTCTGTTTCTAGACAAGGTCTGACTATCTTGTCCAGACTAGTCTTGAACTTGCAATCTTCCTGCTTCAGCCTCCTGAGTAGCTGAGTCAACAGGTCTGGCTTACATGAATGTTTTTAACCCATTAATGTTTGACCTAATTAAAAACATTTTTTTTTTTTTTGAGATAACGTCTTACTATGTAGCGTTGGCTGGTTTGGAACTTGCTATGTAGACCAGGCTAGCCTTGAACTCACAGAGATCCATGCTCAATACCACACCTAGCTCATCGTCAGATTTCTTGAGCAGGTGAATTTTAGCAAACCACTGGGATCAGCTGATAAACCAGACTTTATGGCTTTGGGGCCATAAAGTCTGGTTTTCCCTAAAGCCAGTTCCTTTTGAGACTGCTCTTTGACCTTGGCCTCACTTGGGTGAGCCTTAGTTTGCTCACCTGCAAAATAGGCCTGAGAGTGCTGTACTGTGCCCCTCTCATGGTTTCTCTGAGGAGAAAAAGCTGGTGATAAAGCTCTGGTTCTGTATATGTGTGTGCAGGTGATAGTGGTGGCCCTCAGCCCTGCCCTTTGCTTTCTCTGTTCCCCAGCTGACTCAGGATGACATGCTGCGGGTGGAGCCATCTCTACTGCAGTACCCTGACTGGAGGGGACATCTGTTGTAAGTAGCTCCCACAGGCTGGTAGGTGTGAACATGGGGTGATTTTGGCCCCTAGGGCGGTACAGCTATACCTGGGCACATTTCCTGTTGTCATAATTGGGAGGTAGGGGGAGGGTGGGTAGTCTTACTGGCCTTTCCAAGATTGAGGCCCACAATACTGCTAAACCTACAATGCGCAGGATTAGGTCCCCAGCAAAGAATTGTCTATCCCAAGTATCAGTAGTGATGGGGTGAAGGAACCTGCCATAGAACCCAATTCTGGGCCCTGGTGACCATGGGCTGTCTTGCCAACCCCAACTCCAAAGCATCCAGCTTGTTTTCCATGTTGAGTCTGCGGTAAGTGAAGAGATGGTCTTTGCTTTCCCAGTAACTTTACAAATGCCAGAATGAGTGTCAAGGGGGCTGGCTGGGGCTAATTCCCAATGGTAAGGTGGATCAAATGAATGACCATTGTATATACTAATGGAGCACTTATTCTAAGACACTGTTCTAAGGGATTACAGCCCAGCACAAGCTGACCCAAGATGCATTACACACACACACACACACACACACACACACACACATGTATTTAAATGTGTATGAGTGTATTACCTGCATATGTGTAAGTGCATCCTTGTCATGCAGTGCTCATGGAATCAGAAGAAGGCATTGGATTCCCCTGGAACTGGAGTTACAGATGATTGTTAGCTGATATGTGGGTGCTGGGAATCAAACCCAGGTCCTCTGTAAGAGCAGCCAGCACTCTTAACTGCTGAACCATCTCTCCAGCACCCCAAAGCACATATTTTTAAAAAGATATGGTTACCAGGATGGTGTGTCCTAGAGCAGGCCACTGGGCTTGAATGCAGACTGTGTCATTTACCAGCAAGTGACTCAGTTTCTTCAAACATCAATTTCCGTATCTGTAAAATGGAAGGAATGACAGTCATAGTCACCATGAAATATTTCCCAAATAACATTTGTATAATGGAAAAATTCAATAAACTTTAATAATGAGTTCCTATTATGATAATGTTTATTATAAATGCTTTTAGTTAGATCTATGTAGGGTGTTATTTTTCATTCCCCTGGTCTCCTGATTAGATGGGGCTGGATGTCTAAAAGCACAGAGCGACTGCTTTGTGGGCAGGGATTGGGAGGGTATATGGGGATGGAGAAGGGCATGTTGGGAGTGGAGGCAGATGCTAGCCGCACTCCCCACATAGGAAGGGAGAGTGGAGCAATGACAGCCACCTGCAGGTTCCCAGAGGGGTGCTGGGGTCAACTGGGTTGAGGACCCTCTGAAAAGTGTCACTTGTCATTCGTCTACTTGTCCTTCCTCTAGCCTCCGGGAAGAAGTGGCTAAGTTCTTGTCTTTCTACTGCAAGAGCCCAGAACCCCTCAAACCAGAGAATGTGAGTGATCCTTTCTTCCCTAAGGGTGAAGGGTAGGAGCAGGGTGGGATTGTGGCTCATCTTGGCCTCTTCACCTTGGAGGAAAGACCCTTGGAGTGACCAGCTGTTTGTTGCTCAATTGACCCAGGGTCAATTGAGCAGGGTCCCCACAAATGAGCCTGGTTAGAAGCTAAGAGGGGCTTTGGTTGGGACAGGTCCCCAAGGGTACTGAGGAGGCATCTGGCCCTCCTGTTGTGCTGATCTGGGATGAGGCTGCAGGTCCTAACTCCTCTTGAAACAGTGATCTCTGTCTTCTGACTATCACCCCCAGGTGGTGGTTCTGAACGGCTGTGCCTCTCTCTTCTCCTCTCTGGCTACTGTACTGTGTGAGACCGGGGGTGAGTGAGCTCCATGCTGTACCTGTACCAGGGCTGTGTTGGGTTGTGACTCCAGTTGCTTGACATCAGAATTCTTTCAGTCATAATGAATAAAGAAGACTATAGGAACCTTAAGAGGCTTGACAAATTGCCCAAGGTGGCAGTTCTGGGGGAAGTTAGTGTGGGGTGAGGGTTCTGTTTTCTCCATGAGTCTCAGTCAGTTTTTCCTTCCTACTCCCAGCACCACCATCACATCCTCTGTGACACTGACAACAGGAAGAAAAAAAAGTTATACCAGGCCTTTCTCTTACCAGTTAAGACAGGGGAGTGTTCCAGTAGTACCCCCTTGATTTTACTAAACTTAAATGACTTATAAATCTGTTCTCAAAGCAGTCCCTGGTGAAGGGGAATGAGAGAGCCGACCTGAAGTGTGGTTCAACCCCACAGCTGGGGGAGGCCTGCCTTGGACATATTGCTGGTTGTCTCTGAAAAAAAAAAAATCAACTTTTTTCTGAGCAAGGAAGGAATTTGGAATAACTATTAAATAGGCAGCCTACAGGACCTGCTCTAAGAGTCATGGCATATTCAAAGCTAGTCATTCATTGGCTAAGGGTTATTCATTGTAGGGAACAGAGGCCTGCTCATGATAGCTTAACTAGTAAGGATACCACTAGTCACATCCAGTCACCACACAGTAGGCCATGCCCTATGGCTTTACACATAATGTCATTTAATCCCCAGAATACCCTTAAAAGATGGATTCTAGCCAGGTGTGGTAGCGTATGCCTTTAATCCCAGCACTTGGGAGACAGAGGCAGGCAGATCTCTGTGAGTTCAAGGCCAGCCTGGTCTGCATAGTGAGTTCCAGGACAGCTGGGGCTACAGGGAGACCCTGTCTCAAAAAGACCAAAAAAAAAAAAAAAAAAAAAAAAAAAAAAAAAGATTCTAGGGCTTGTCCCATTTTATAGATGAAAAGGCTGAGGTCCAGAGGTCAAATAACTTTTCAAAGTCACACAAACAGAGGCAGTTTCAGGGCTAGAACCCTAAAAGAAGATCTGTTGTGAGAATCTTATACTTTCATTTTTTAATATTTTATTTATTATTTTTATTTTATGTATATGCATGTATTGTCTGCATTTAGGTAAGTGCACCCGTGTTATGCAATGCCCTTGGAGGTCAGAAGAGGCTGTCAGATCCCCTTGGGACTGGAGTTATGGACAGTTGTTAGCTGCTATGTGGGTGCTGGGATTCGAACCTGTATCTTCTGCAAGAACAGTCAGTGTTCTTAACCACTGAGCCATCTCTCCAGCCCCTTATAAATACTTTCTTAACCATTCCAGAACAATCCAGAACAGGAACCATCTAAGCTTCTGTTCCCTGGTCTATAAAGTTAGGCTGATAAGAGTGCTTACTCCAAAACATTGTGATAAGAGTTGAACAAGCTATAAATAACTGTTTAGCATCATTCCCAGTGCACAGTGCGTGCTTGGGAGATAGGTAGAGGCTCCCCAACTTTTACTGAATCGACAGGGTTTTTCCACGTATGATGGTGTGAAAACTATACAAATTCAATCTAAATTGTACTTCAAAAAATTTTTTTTGAGGCAGTGTCTCATGTAGCCCAGGGTAGCTCTGAATTTACTATGTAACTCAGGATGACCTTGAACCTCTCATCCTCCTGCCTTCATTTACTGAGTGCTGGGATTGCAGGCATGTGCTCCCATGCCTGGTGTATATGGTGCTGGGGACTGAACCCAGGACTTCATGCATATGAGGCAAGCACTATACCAACTGAGTTACATCTCTAGTCTCAGCATTTTTGAATTGTGATTGAATTGTGATATTTTCTTACAATGCTGGGCACTGGTGATACATCACCCCTCCCGGGCAGCCACATGACCCCCTAGGGTCAACACAAATACTCCACCATGCACCCTGTCACTAAGCTAGACTGTTCAGTGGGTTAAGTAGATTAAATGAACTTTTGATATTTTCAGTTTACAGTCATTTACTTGGATGTAACCTGTAAGTGGAGGAACATCTGCACTAGGAAAAGATCTGATCTTAGGGGATCCAAGCACTGGCGTTTAGGGAGTTGAGAGTTGGAGTATGCTCCAAATGTTCCCCAAGGATGATGGAAGCTTGGAGGGGCAGTGGGACCTGTGATGGGATCTGGGGTGTCCAAGCCAGAGGCCAACAGGCCACTTGCTCCTGCCCTCAGAGGCTCTCCTGATCCCTACCCCTTACTATGGAGCCATCACTCAGCACGTTTATCTCTATGGCAGTGTCCGACTGGCCTATGTCTACCTGGACAGTGAGGTAAGAGTTCCTGCACCCCAGTTCCTGCATCTGGGTCTTCCTGTAGGACAAGAGTTTCCTGGGTCTGAATGTGGGTGGGCATGAAGGAAGCCTGTATTAAGGACTCTGGGGCTATGGTGAGATGGAAGTGGAGACTTCTGTTGTCACATGGCTGCTAGTGCCTGAGTTCCCCAGAGGCTCCAAGCTCCAGGATCTGAGGTTCCTGGATCCACAGAGAAGCCAAGGACTAGTCTTAGAAGTGAGGGGGTGGATGAAGGTCAGCGTAGACCTTAACACAGAAGTCCTGAGATCAATCAGAGGACTCCTGGGGCTCTTGCTCCAGTGATGAGGGATATGGAAGGCAGAAAGGGGGAGTGGCCTCATTAGTTTTCCAGAGGCTGTGCCGGGAGCCTGGAGATTGCAGGCCAGAAGAGGCTTGAGAGCCCAAGTTTGAGGGGGAGATGATCAGTGAATTTGGCTGCTGTCTTTGATGGGTCTTTTTCCAGGTCACTGAACTGGACACACGTCCCTTCCAGCTCACAGTGGAGAAGCTGGAGATGGCCCTGCATGGAATTAATTCTGAGGTCTGGAGATCCAGTTAAACCTGGGGTGGGGAGTGGATGTGTCTGAGCAGGGCCTAGGCCCTTCTTGTAGTTATCTCTAGGAGCTGGGTTTGTAGCTTTCATGCAGATACTTAGAGAGGGGGTATCATGGAACCATATGGGTAGGGGCTCTTAGGCAGGACCCTGTCCATGGAGGGTCCTCCTATTGGAAAACAATCCTCAAACCACAATGTAGAGAGAACCAGGGAGCTTCATTAATAGCTTTCCCCTCACAGGAGAGGGTAAGGAGATATGGAGTGACTTTGATTAAAGCACATTATATACACATGTGAGAATGTCATAGTGAAACCCGTTACTTTATATATTGAATATATGCTAATTAAAAAGAACTCCTCCCCCAGTCCCTTTGTTTCTGCTTCAGGGTCAAATGTAGATGACGGGAATCTATACTTCAGTGAGTCTCTCTGGCAATTTGAGGGGTGATCCTGCTTATGTTGAGGTGCTTGGGGGCGTCTCCCCCAAGAAAGACAGAGAGAGACTGGGTTTCTGTGCTTCCTTCCCACTCTACTTTTTAGCAACCCATCTAAGTCCCTGAGTTTACTTGTGTCATTCAAACTGCCATGTGTTCCCTGCAGGAATTGTGGGTTCTAACACGCACCCAGCATTCGCCCAACATGAGCAGCCTCTGCTGCATGTGGGCGGGTTCCCCTGTTCTCTGCCTGCCTTTCTCTTCACAATTGGCCCAATGCTGCAGATGTAATTCTGTGTCCTATTGGTTCGCTTCTTGTTGGGTATCTCTCTCTGCAGTGTTTCCCAGGGGAATCACCCAGCAATCAGCCCCATCCAGTGAGATTGTGAGGCTCTGTTCTTGTTGAGGAACTGAAGTCTCCCACCTCATGATGGTTTCAGGGTGTCAAAGTCAAAGGCCTCATCCTTATCAACCCCCAGAACCCTCTGGGTGATGTCTATTCTCCTGAAGAGCTGTGGGAGTTCCTGGGATTTGCCATGAGGTAAGCCGTGCTTGTCCCTCACCTTACCACACAATGTGTGCAGACAGGGCTCTGATGTAGGCTTTGGGGCAGATCCCTAATACTTTCTCAGCCCAGTGTGGATTACAGCCTGCTTTGTCCTCTCCCAGGCAGTGGGCTGGGAAGTGGGGTGCCGTTTTTCTATCTTATATTGAACACCAGCAATAATATTCTAGGGCCAGATACCATGCTGAGCACTTTTTATTTGTTTGTTTATTTATTTATTTACCTGTGTTCATTGTGTATGCATGTGAAGGATAGAGGTCACCCTCAGGAGTCATTTCTTAGGTGCCTTCCGCATTGGTTTTTGAGACAGGGTCTCCTCAAGAAGACTAGTTTGGCTGACCACTGAGCCCCAGGAATCCACCTGTCTCTGCTTCCCTAGCCCTAGGACTGCAAATTCATGCCACTGTGCCTGCTTTTTAAAAATGTGGGTTCTGGGGATCGAACTCGGGTCTTCATGCTTGCATGGAAAGTACTTTACTGATGAGCCATTTCCTCGTTTGAGTACTTTATGTGCTGTGTCTCTGATAATCCTCACAACACCCACATGAGGGATAGAAACTATCATGCCCTTGATAGAGCCTCAGAGTAGTCAAATCAGTCTGGTGGGGCCAGACATGACTCTGACTCTATCTGTCTTCAGTCCTCCAAAGAGGACCTAAGGGCCCTGCCTCTTCCCTGCAATGTTTCCAAAGCTCCACATTCCTCTGCTTTGTATGTACAGCTTCCTGTTTGTCAGAATAAACCAAAGCCTGGTGTTCCTGGGACCAACTAGTTTGGTAACCCCTGGGCTAGACTGTGGTCCCTTGGGGTTTCTGATGTACTGCTACTCCACATATAGGGACACATTTTAGCTCTCTCCCCACCACTTGCCCACTCTAGGCACAAACTGCATGTGATTGTGGATGAGGTTTACATGCTGTCCGTGTTTGAGGAGTCGCTTGAGTACCGCAGTGTCCTGAGTCTGGAAAGGTGAGACTCCCCCAACAGCTGACTCTGCCAGCCCTCCAGATTTCCCAGTTTCCTGGCTTCTTTCTGGGTCAGCCCATCAGGCCTGTCTTGTCCTAGGGTAATTCTAGTAACATCTAGTTGATCCCACTGATCCTTAGACCTCCAAGAGAAGATGGAAAGGTTGGGTAGATCGAGAATCTTCAGATTATTCTGTAGCGTTCTTGAGAGCCCCTAAGGAGGGGCTTTAAGCATTCTTCGAAGGAAAGTCGGGAACTGGCCTCTTGCTGTTTCTTTCACCTCCAGAGCAGCTCCAGTTTCATCCATCTACCCATCCATCCATCCATCCACCCCCCATCCACTCCCTGTCCATCTATCTATCCATCCATTTGAATCCACCCCTTATCAATCCATACATCTACCCCCACCCTCCTGTCTATGCATCCATTCATCTACCCCATCCATCCCCATCTATTCACCCACCATCCACCCACTTCCATTCATGCCCAATCCAACCATACATCTAACCCCCCATTCACCTCTATCCATCCATCCATCCATCCATCCATCCCCCATCCCCCATCCAACCATTCCTGTCATGCATTCATCCATCCCCCATCCATTCATCTACCCATCGATTCTCCCAACCATCCATACATCTACCCCCATCTACCCACTCACCCATCCATCCATCCATCCATCCATCCATTCACCCACCCATCCATGCATTCTGGTAGGTACCCACCCATCCACCCATTCACCACCTATCAGCTCATTCATTCATCAGATACTTATGGAGAACCTTGCCTGTGCCAAGCACTGTGGTGGTTTAAGTCATGGGATTTTTTTCATTAGTTTCATCATGAGAAAGAATTTTTAAAAAATATTTTATTTATTTTTAAATTTTGTGTGTATGACTTTATGGCCTGCATGTATGCAAGTGTCATGCAATGCCCGAGGAGGTCAGAAGATTAGATTGGTTGGATTCCCCTGGAACTGGTGTTACAGAAAGTTGTTAGCCACCAAGTAGGTGCTGGGTCTTTTGCGAGAGCAGACAGTGCTCTTCACCGCTGAGTCATCTCTCCAGCCTCTGAGAAAGAATTTGCAACCAAAACATGTTTGTAAGCACTCGGACCAGACCATCTGTGGTACCTGTGGATCTGGCCTTCAGGGATTCTGACAGAACCTCAGCCGTGCTGAGAGCTTGCCATTGCTCTTCTCATGTAGTCATGAAGCACTACACCGTGAACAGTAGTGGACACTCACTCCTGTTCACTTTATGCAAGAGCAAAGTTACACTAAGAGGAAACATTGGCCTGTCCATGATCCTTGGTTCATGAAGGAAAATATACTTCCAGATCATTTGTTCTGTGTTAGATATTTTGGACAACCTTGGACCTGATCCTGTGTGGAGACTATTTCTAGCCAGAAAAAGCTTTCAGCAGCGAAAGACACAGCTAGCAATTTTGATTATGGTGAAGGAGATGGGAAGCTATGCTAAGGGTCCATCTGGGATGCCTGAGTGGCGTGGTCACCTGGGTTGGTCAGAGAAGCCTTTTCAGGAAATGGTACTTGAACTATATTCTAGCTCAGAGGCCAGGTGGCATGATCGCTCACTCAGCTCAAATGAGCTTGGCTGTTCTGATATGGTAATATTTGCAGAAACAGATAGTAGGCTAGATGTGGCCTGTAGGCCGTTTACTGACCCCTGTCCTAAGGAAAACACAGAAATAGGTGGTTCAAAGAGATGAGAACAGGGTTTGACCTGTTCTCCAGATCCAGATTCATCCATCTATCCAATTTATTCAAATATACGTGTCTTAGTCCCCCTGGTTCTGGGTTGCCTCTGTCCCTACGCTCTCCTCTCTACAGGCTGCCTGACCCCCAGAGGACACATGTGATGTGGGCCACCAGCAAGGTGAGTTCCTGTCTGGTCTGGGTTGGGAGGGAGACCAAAGGGAAGAAAGGTAGGTGGGACCAGCTTTCTCTGTGGAGAGCTGCCCATGGCCTGGGGCTCTTCCTCTTGCAGGACTTTGGAATGTCTGGGCTCCGCTTTGGCACGCTGTACACGGAAAACCAGCACGTGGCCACTGCTGTGGCTTCCCTCTGCCGCTATCATGGTCTCAGTGGCCTGGTCCAACACCAGATGGCACAGCTGCTCCAAGACCATGGTGACTGCCTGGGTCTAGTGACCCAAGTGTGGGGGATGGAATGCATCTGGGACTGGTCAGGGATCATGGGTACTCTCCCATGAGAATTTAGATGGTATCTGAGTGTGTCATCTCTGGTCCAGACTGTGCTTGGCCACTTGCTGCCTGTGTAGCACTTGACTTCACCTCCCTGAGCCTCAGTTTCCTCATCTGTAAAACAGGTCTGCTGATGGTGCTAATCTTGTAGAGTGAGAGCGACTCTGGTAGAACAGTACTTGGCATATATAGGCACTTGGCTAATGTGAGCTCACTGGCCAGGTGCTGTGCTGTGTACCTATAGTCCTAACTACTTAGGAAGCTGAGGCAGAAGGAATATTTGGGCTCAGGAGTTCCAGGTGAGTCTGGGCAACATAGTAAGACTCCATTTAAAAAAATGAATTTAGAGCTGGGAATGGTGGCACAGGCCTTTAATCCCAGCGCTTGGGAGACAGAGGCAGACAGATCTTTGTGAGTTTGAAGCCAGCCTGGTCTACATAGTGAGTTTCAGGCCAGCTGGGGCTACAGGGAGACCCTGTCTCAAAAAGACAAAAAATAAAAAATATAATAAAATAAAAAAAATGAATTTAGGATTATTAGTTTTGAGCACCTTAAAAAGAGAGCAGGATCTACCAAGAAAATGTTATAATGGAAATCTCTCTGCCTCTATGAATCTGTTCTCCTGGTTTTGGACAGTGAGTTTAGATGAGAAAGCTCAGCTATCATTGTCACAGTTCATTGAGACTTAAGCTCTTACTGTGCCAACTCATTTATCCCTCCCTAGGATCCTAGGAAGCATGAATTCCTATACATCTGTTGTTTTACAGATGAGGGAAATGAGAACCAGACACTGCACAACCACTCCAACAGCCTAAAACTTTTTAGAAGCAGTGACAACATGAAGTGTTGATGAAGGAGGTGGAGCAGTAGGAATGCTCACTCACACATTGCTGGCGGGAACATGAGATGTTTCCACCACAATGGAAAAGTTTGGCATAGCAAATGACTCAGCAGCCCCAATCCCAGATGTGGACACTGTCCTGATTACACAAAACCTCTGCATGAATGTTGATAGCCACTTTATTCATAATCACACATCTGTGGAAACAACCCCCCTCCACAGATGAGTGAATACAAAGATATGTTACGCCCACACCATGTGGATTTACCTCAAAGACATTATTCTGGTAAGAGAAGATAGAATCAAGAGATTGTATACCATATGAGGCTAGTTTTGTGACATTTCAGAATGAACAAAACTATGGTTATGGAGAACACATCAAGGTTATGGGGAAGGGGTTGGTGCAAGTATGGGGATATTCTTTGGGGCCATTCAGAATTCTGATGGTAGCAGTGGTTATATAATGTATGAATGTGTCATAATCCATAAAGATGAGTACCCTGAGAAAAGAGGTCAGTGAACACAGGATCAAAGAGGTGAAGTTGCCTAAGCTCACCACTCCACCACTCTTTGCCCAGTGGCCTTACTGGGATCTGGACCTTGGTCTGTGTGATTCTGAGCATCACTTTATAACTGCATACATCCTTGGGTTGGTTCTGCATCCTGAGGGATCTTGTACCCTGAGTTCCTGAACATGGTACAGGACCTGGAGCTGTCAGAGCTGCATACTTGGAATAAAGGTGTTTTTTCCAAAACACTGAATTCTCAGCCCCTTTGACCACCAATTCAGTATGACAATTAGAGAAGGGACTTTCCATAGTGTCATCAACCACGACCATTTGCTTTTTGGCATTTAGATTACTGAAATGGAGCAAAGACTGATGGGAGTTTTATCTTCTGGTTTATCTTCCACTTAGACTGGATCAATGATGTGTATCTGCCAGAAAACCACGCCAGGCTCAAGGCTGCCCACACCTATGTCTCAGAAGAACTAAGAGCCATAGGGCTCCCCTTTGTGAGTCGGGGGGCAGGCTTCTTCATCTGGGTTGACTTGAGAAAGGTAATTTAGGTGGAGGTGTGGGTTCAAAGGAATGTCAAGCCTCTAGCAGAGGGCACTTGCAGGTCTCCTACATCCCAAGCCACTTTTCATTCTCCCAGTACCTTCGCAAGAGCACCTTTGAGGAGGAGGCGTTGCTTTGGCGCAAATTTTTGGACAACAAAGTGCTGCTGTCTTCCGGTAAGGCCTTTGAATGTAAAGAACCTGGCTGGTTCCGCATTGTCTTCTCAGACAAGGAGCACCGCCTCCGCCTGGGTGAGCAGCCATCTCCCTCAGTCTCATAACAGCATCCTTCTGGTGGTCCTCTGCTTTTGACCCCAGCAGCTTCAGTGCTTATGGCCCCTCACGTCCCCTTCCCAGGGATGCAGAGATTTCGTCAGGTGCTTGAGGCCCAATCCCAAGAGGCAGAAGACACTTCTCCCCAGCAGACCCAGGAGCCAAGTGGCCAGCCCAGATGAGGTGGCAGTTGCCTGTCAAGCATCCATGACCCTGCAACCTGGCCATGGGGGGCTGCAGAAGACTGATTGTGGGTGTGTCATTTGTCAACAGGCTTCCCGGCTTTGCTTTACCCTGGAAGAATTATTTCCTGCCTTTTCTGTTGGCAGTGGGAGACTGTTTAAATTGAGGTTCATCCCAGGTCATTGTCCTCCTATTCAGTGAGATTGGGGTCAGCCAAATGCCTGTGTCCTGAATAGTTTACAGACTGGAGATTTGTGACTGCTCCTCACTGCAGCACTCAGACTGAGACATGAGCAGACAACTTACTCATTCTTTGTGGTGCCTTTGTGCCTCATTGTTGCCAGGGAAACAAGCCAGAAGAACAGCACATATAGTCTATACCCCCCCCCCCACAAAGTGACAACATTCCAAGGGACATGGATTGAATTCTGTTCATCCAGGATAAGCATCAGCTATGGAGGAGGTGAGCAGGACCCCATGGTGGGAATTAGGAGGGGCTTGTCAATGGAGATGAAGTGGCCCCTCAGGTTCTGGGACTTGCCTCCTCCTTTCTGGGAAGGGCTGCCTTCCCTGAGGTCCCCAAAGCAGCGGCCTAACAATTCTTGTAGGAGGGAGAGGGACTTGGAGGAGGAAGAGGGACTTGGGGCTGGAACTCTGGACTGAGGCTGCCTGGGGGCCAGGTTAAGACTGGCCTTCCTGTGCTAAGTGACAATGGGCTACCTGTCCAATCCTCAAAGTACTTTAGTGTCGATTCTGAGTGAGTGTGGGATTCCTCAGGCTGTGTACTGCCACTTTCTTAGGAGCCCAAGTTCCTGCCTTCTAAAAGCTGGCTCCCAATCTTAAGTAGCGTGTAAGAGAAACAGAACACAAATGTGAAAACTCCATTCCAAGAAACCTGGATGTATTCTGACCCAAAGCCACATATAAAGGAAAGGGAGTGGGCCCTTAACTTTGTGTGTAAGAATTATAGATCATTATGCTAATGAGATATGACCTCTTTGGCACCCAGTTCAGATATGTTGCATAAGATGGATGAGTTTTTCCTGTGCTAACATAGGTCATGAAGTTGGGGGAGGGGTGGAAAGGTGAGGGTGGAGATGGGGGAGGGGGTCAGAACATAATCAAAATACATCGTATGCAATTCTGGATTCAATAAAAAAAATTAAAAAAAAATCTGGCTCTGAGAGGAGAGGAGGATGGAACTTGAGAATGACCAACATACATTGTATGAAATTCTCAAAGAATTAATAAAAATATTTTTAAGAAGTTGACTGGGGGCTGGAGAAATGGTTCAGTGGTTAAGAGCACTGGCTGCTTTTGCAGGACCTGGGTTTAGTTCCCAGCACCTACATGGTGGCTAACAACTATCCATAATTCCAGTTCCAGGGAATATGACACCCTCTTCTGGCCTCTGTAGTCATTGCACACATGTAATACACTTACATACATGCAGACAAGATATTCATACACATAAAATGAAAATAAATTAAAAAAATTTAAAAGCAGATACATCTGGGTGTGGTGGCATATACCTATACTGTCTGTAGTCACAACTACTAGAGAGGCTGAGGCAGGAGGATTGCTTGTACCTATGAGTTGGAGATCAATCTGGGCAAGACAGTCTCTCTCTTATTTTATCCATTTAAAATTTTTTATTTTTATTTTATGTGTATGCGTGTACTGCCTGCGTGTAGGTAAGTGCACCTGTGTCATGTAATGCCCGTGGAAGACAGAAGAGGCTGTCAGATCTCCTGGAACTGGAGTTACAGACAGTTGTTAGCTGCCATGTGGATGCTGGGATTCAAACCCAGGTCTTCTGCAAGAACAGCCAGTGTTCCTAACTGCTGAGCTATCTCTCCAGCCCCTTATCTACTATTTTTATTTTATGCGTATGTGTGTATTGCCTGCAATTATGTAAGTGCACCCATGTCATGCAATGCCCGTCAGAAGAGGGCAAAAGATCCCCTGGAACTGGAGTTATGGATGGTTGTTAGCTACCCTTTGGGTGCTGGGTACTGAACCCGGGTTTTCTGAAAAACAAAAACAAAAACAGCCAGTGCTCTTAACTACTGAGCCAACTCTCCAGCCCCTCTCTGTTTTTGAGACAGATTCTCACTATGCAGCCCTGGCTGGCCTGGAACACCCTATGTAGACCAGGCTGGTCTCCCACTCACAAAGATCCACCTGCTTTTGCCCCCTAAGTTCTGGGATTAAAGGTATCACCACCACCCCCAGCCCATAGTGGGTCTCTTAAGGGTATGCCAGTGAAGCCATCATAGTCCTGGCTGTCCTCAGACTCATAATCCTCTTGCCTATAGACACACACCTCTGTCCCCTGCATATCTTCTGTTTTATAGATGAGGAACCTGAATCTTAGAGATGGAATGAAATTCTGAACATTATATAGCTACAAAGTCTTAGGGTAAGGATCCACGTGAGGTTGGTGTGGTTCTGTTCAGAAACCTCATAGGGCTGGAGAGATGGCTCAGTGGTTAAGAGCACCTGCTGCTCTTCTAGAGATCCCAAATTCAGTTCCTAACACTCACAATGAGTAACTTACAACAACCTGCAACTCCAGCTCCAGGGCCCCCTTCTGGCCTCCATGGGCACCTGCATGCAGATGGGGGGTGGGGGGAGAAGAGAAGAGAAAGAGAAGAGACAAAAATAAGATCTTTTAAAAAAGACTGCACTGGCTCTTTGTGCTGTGCCTTCAGCTACTTTTTGGTTGGTCTATAGATTGTCTATTTTTCTGTTTTGTGGGTTTTTTTTTTTGTCATTGGTTTAATTTTTCTCCTTTAGATTTTTCTAGATTTTTTCACCATCTCCCTCTACTCATTTGTAATTTATGTGCTCTGTTTCTCTTCTTTTCTGTTGTCCTAGAAATTATAACAGTATATGACTTGTGAGTTGAAACTCTGTATCCTGACCTTCCCTTTCAGCAACACAAGAGCCTGGACACCTGGAGCCTCTTATCCCCAGTGATCCCTGACTATTTTGTGGTCTATATTCATTTTTGCTTTGAATTAAAATTTATTTATTTATTTTATGTGCATGAGTGTTTGCCTGCATATATGTAAGTGCATCCATGTCATACAGTGCTTATGGAGCCAGAAGAGGGCATCAGATCCCCTGAAACTGGAGTTATAAATGGTTGTTAGCTGCTACATGGGTGCTGGGAACACAACCCATGTCTTCTGCAAGAGCAACCAGTACTCTTAACCACTGAACCATCTCTCTAGCCCCTTGCTTTTCATTTTTAACCCTCAAAAATCTTGTTTTACACGGGTAGCATTTGCTTCCACTGACCACATGTTTATTCTGTGGATCTCAGGCTTCCGTTTGGAGTCCTGTATCTTCTGTCTGGAGCATGGCTTCTCCATGTCCTTTGGGGAAAGGGAACTGCTGGTGACAGACTCTCAACTTTTGCTTGTTTGGGAATGTCTGTATTTTTCTAATTTTGAAAGATAACTCTACTGGTTATAGAATTCTAGGTCAGTATTTTCTGATTCCCATCATGCCTGTTGAGTCTGTGGCTTCTTCCAAGATGGCATCTATCATTCCCCAATGCAGTTTCTCAAGACCTTTTAAATTCCCAGCACCCACATGGTAGCTAACAACCTTTTGTAACTCCAGTTACAGGGAATCCAATGTTCTCTTCTGACCTCCATGGGCATTGTGTGGCGCAGATGCACTTACACACATGCAGGCAATACACTCGTAGACATAAAAATAATAAATGAAATATATTAAAAAAGAAAGAAATTCTTTATTATTGGTGTCGGTGTTGCCACTGCATGCCAAGATATTGATTTGTTTTTCCTTACCTCATTTATATACACTGGGACTCTTGCATCTGTGGCTGCCTTCATCAGCTCTGGAAACTTCTCAGTCTGTATTATCAAATATTGTCTTTTTCTCATTCTCCCTTTAAACCTCTATTGAATATATGAGAGGTGACTTGCTGCCTCTGTGTCTCTTAATTTATTTTTCTTTTTGACTATCTGTGTTACACTCTGAATACTTTACTTTGGTCTTTAGTACAATTTAATTAGTTTTTTTTTTAAAGATTTGTTTAGTGTGTGTGTGTCCAAGTGTATATGTGTATACCACATATGTGCAGTGCTCATAGAGGCCAGAAGAATCTCTTGGAAGAGTTACAGTCAGTTGTGTACCATCTAATGTGGGTGCTGGGAACCATCCCAGGGTCTCTGGAAGATCGGCAAGTACTCTTACCTGCTGACCCATCTTTTTAGCCCCAGTAATTCATTCTTTAGCTGGGTCTAACCTGCCTTAATTGGCTTTAGTTTTAAACTTTAGAAAATATATTTATTTTTCTTGAAGTTCTAAAAAATTGTTTTTATGACTTATTATTTACTTGTTATTATTGTCATTGTTGTTATTGTTTGAGACAGGGTCTCCCAGCTGGCCTGGAACTCACTATGTAGACCAGGCCAACCTCAGTCTCTGGGAGATCTGCCTGCCTTCCAAGTGCTGGGACTATGTTGTGTTCCACCACATTGTACTCATTTTTAAGATGTAATTATTTTGTATGTTATGTAGAGTCATCTTTCAGAGCCTACAAAGGATTGGTGCAGCACCCCTTGTGAATACTAAAATCTGTAGATGTTGGGTCAGCAAGATGGCTCAGTGGGTAAAGGCACTTGCTCCAAAAGTCTGGTGACCTGAGTTTGATCCCTGGAACCTACGAAAAGGTGGAAAGACAGAACCAACTTCACAGTTATCCTGTGACCTCTATGTGTATGTAGTGGCATGCATATCCCCTCTGCATGCACACACACAATAATTATAAATAAAAATTTAAAAATCTGCAGTTGCTCAAGTCCCTTATAAAAATGGCCTAGTCTTTTATATAACTTAGACACATCCCCTTGTATATTTTATTCATTTTTAAGAGTCTCATTATGCAGAACTGGTTGGATTGGTAACCCACTATGTAGCCCAGGCTTCCTCAAACTCAAGACAATCCTCCTGCCTCAGCCTCCCTAGTACAGGGATTACAGACATGAACCTCCTCTATTAGTTACTTCTCTTTTGCTGTGATAAAGCATCATGAGCAAAGCAACTTAGAGGAGGAAGAATTTATTGGGCTTACAGTTTTAGAGGGATAAGAGCACATGTGGGACACTGTAGGAGGCAGTGGAGCAGAAAACCAAGCACTCATATCTTCAAGCAGGCACTGGAAGTGGAGAGAGAGATACTGGAAATGGGCAAGGCTATGATCTCTCAAAGCCTGCCCCCAGTGGCATGCTTCCTCCAGCAAGGCCACACCCCTGAAAGGTTCCAGGACCTTCCCCAAACAGCGGCACCAACTGACCAAGTGTTCAAATTCCTGACTGTCACCCTGAATGGGTGACATTTCTCCTTCAAACCACCACACCACCTTACCTGGCTCCCCTGTATACTTAAATCATCTCTAGATTACATATGATACAACTACAATGAAAATATATAAGCAGCTATAGGTATAATAACTGTAAACTGTAGTGTTTACAGAACACTTAGGGAATTATTATTAATAGTCATGTTCAGGAGGTTCATCTGTCCCCATAACTTCTAATAGCACAGCTTCTAAACTTACTTCTGATCACGTACATGGTTTATGCCTCTGGAAGTGTAACTGCAGTGTGTAAGCGCACTGGGCCATAAGATGCTTGTTTATCCTGATTGCTGCTGCTTTCGCCCAGGCCTTGCTTGGGATTTTTTTTTTTTCTCCATCTCTCTACTTGTCAAAATCCTAAATATCCTCAAGGATGAAAGTTTTTTTTTTTTTTTTTTTTTTTTTTTTTTTTTTTGAGACAGGATCTCACTCTGTAGCCTAGGTGGTCTGCAAGCTCTCCTGCCTCAGCCTCCCTGAGATTACAGAAGTGGGCCACCCATCTGGTTTGTGATATCAGCTCTCAGTTGGAGTCAACTTAGAGCTTTCTAACTACATGTGACCTCTTTCCTTCTTAAACCTATAGCATCATGTTTGTATACTCTGTCGCTTTTCGCCCAATGCTTTAAAATTTTTATTTTATTTTCTGTGTATGAGTGTTATGACTGTATGTGTGTAAGTGCACCAGTGTTGTGCGGTGCCCCCAGAGGACAGAAAAGGGCATTGGATCCCCTGGAACTGGAGTTATGGATGATTGCCAATCTCCATGTGAGTGCTGGGAACTGAACCCAGGTCCTCTGCAAGAACAGCCAGTGCTCCTAACTGCTGAGCCATCTCTACAGCCCTCACCCTCTGCTTTTTGTAATCTCATTGTGAATTTTTCTTATTTCTAGTAAGCTCCTCTCTGCCCCTGCCATCTTTTATTAATTCAACAAACACTGAGTGCTTGCTGTGTACCAGGTGTTATGTAAGCTTAAGGTTCTAAAATGTGAATAAGATACACAAGGTTCAGCGCTGGAGAGATGGCTCAGTGGTTAAGAGCACTGACTGCTCTTGCAGAGGACCGGATTTGATTCCCAGCATCCACATGGCAGCTATGAACCATCCTTAACTCTAGTTCCAAGGGAATCCGACCCCCTCTTATGACCTCCGTGGCATTGCACGACAGGGGTGCACTCACATACATGCAGTCAATACACTCATACACATAAAATAAAAATAATAAAATATATTAAAAAAATACACAAGGTGCCCCAAAGTCCATGCCTGACCCAACTCATCAACACAGTAAGTTCTTATTTACTACTAGAATAACTGAACAACTAAAAAATTTACACATAAATACAAAGAAGAAAAAAAGACATGACATAGAAAGAAGTCACAATCTCCCAGCCCAAGTGATTACTGTTGACCTACTTTTAAAAGGCAAAAGCAGTATTCTTGGGCTACTAGGAGGTACTGTTGGTGATCGTCACTGCTGTCCACTCATCCAGGTCTCAAACAGGTGTGTGCATGCTAAATTGCATATCATGTTCAGAGTGTATCTGTGGTTTTGGAGAAAAGAGCCACACTCTGTTGGATTCAAGGAAGAAGAATATAGGCCCCCAATCCCTAGAATGCTCTTGTCCAAATCTCCTTAGATCAGTGACAAGGAGGTGTTAACTCAAAAGTATTCCTAGAATCACTGAAGCTGAGAGTAGCAAGCCTTCATAGGTCTTCAGACTGGGAATCAGCTCCTTGAATAGTTAAGCTGTAATAACAACTTCCACCAGGTGGTGCTAAAGTATAGCCGAGACCAAAATGTATTCCTATCCTGCATCCTGACCCAGAACTAGCAGCCATTGGTTAACCTCTCAATAACAACAATCTGCTTTTTAGTATTTTAGAACTTACTGCCTTTTGGCAAATGTTACTGTGCACGTATAAGACCAAGCCCTGAAAACAGCACAGAAAGAAACACACTGGAAAGACCTCCATTTCTGCCCCCACAATTACTTCTTAAACTATTATAGTTGCTTCTTAGATTTTTTTTTCAGAGAAAAGTATTATACCTGAATGTAAGCATTTCCATATACAGAATTTGAAAATAATTACCTCTAAGCTGGGCGTGGTGGTGCACGCTTTTAGTCCCAGCCCTAGGAGGCAGAGGCAGGTGGATCTCTGTGAGTTCAAGTTCAGCCTGGTCTACGAAGTGAATTCCTGTCTTAAAAAGAACAACGACAAAAATAATTACCTCTTTCTATTTTTCTGTGTGTGTGTGTGTGTGTGTGTGTGTGAGAGAGAGAGAGAGAGAGAGAGAGAGAGAGAGAGCAAGAGAGAGCTAGCATTTCATGTGTTTGTAGCAATCAGAGGACAACTTGCAGGAGTTGGTTCTCTTTCTGTTATGTGGGATCCAGGGATCAAACTAAGGTTGTCAGTCTTGTGTGGCAAGTGCTTTATCCACTGAGCCATATCACTGACCCAACATTTAATTTTTCTTGTTGCATTTTTTATTTGTTTATGTGTAAGTGTATGAGTGTTGTGGAACATGTGTGGTGCATGTGGAAGTCAGGGGACAACTCATGGGAACTGGTTCTCTCCATTGTATGGGTCCTGGGGATCAAACTCAGGTTGTCAGACTTAGTGGCAAGTGCCTTTATTCTCTATTTTCTTTTTGTTTTTGTGTAAACATATTTTACCTGAAAGTGACCATGCTTGCCCATTATTAAGGACTATGGTTTCTTATTTACATGTCTTGGAGGTATTTCCGTACCCACATATGTGTGCTTCCTCCCATTCTTCCATTCTATGTCCCATAGTTTATTTTGGTTGCTCTTTGTATCTTGTTAGACACAGTGTCATAAATATTTAATATACATTGAGACTTTCCATTGGGTAGACTCTACATAGAGGGTTTGTTGGAACTACGGTCCAGGGCATCTTTACACATTGATGGGTAGGTGTCAAAATGCCCTTTGTGACTGTTGCATCTCTCTTTCTGGGGAGAGGACAGGTCGGAGTTCTCACTACGTGCAGGATGGCCACGAACTCGTGGATGATTCTCCTGCCTCCTGAGCCGCCACCCCCTGCAGAAATGCTTGCATTTTTTCCAGTTTTATAAGCAATGCTTGCATTTTTTAATTTTTATTTTTTATTTTATAGCTTTGTAAAGGGAGCTTGGCGTCTCCTTTGGGTTTGCCACCCGTGCATGCTGAAGGAGGCTCTGCATCTCTGGTCGCACCCTTGCTCTAAGCAGGGCGGCCCGCGGTGCTCTGACTCCTCCTGTCCACTAGAGGGCGCGGCGAGACCGCTGCGCAGGCGCAGTGTGCGCAGTGTCAGCCGTCCAGTGCTAGTGGCTGGCGCGGAGTTTCTGGCTGGCTCTTGCCGACCCGGTGCGGGTGGTGGCGGCGGCGACTTCCCGTCTCCGTGCCATCCGACCTGGGAGTCCGTGGACCGCGGCATGAGGCGGTGACCGAGCGCGGGGCCGAGCGGGAGGCGGCCGTGGCCGAGGTGAGCTAGGCGCGCGGGCCGGGCGGGCGGGCCTGGGATCAGGCCTTGGGGAGCCACGGGGCTGCAGGAGCGCCGCGCTGCGTCCCCACCTGTCCGCTCTCCCCGGCACGCCCAGCCCTGCGGACCCGGCTGCCTGCGGACCTGGCTACCTGCGGCCACCCCGCCCTACGGCCCGAGGCCTGGGGAGGCCGTCCCAGGGACGGTGGTTCCTTGTGCAGGTCCTGCGTGGGACGCCGTGGGGAGACTGGCCCTGAGCGTGGCTCTGCGTGGTGGGCACCAGACCGGATGTAGTATCCAGTTCTCACAAATAGCTTGCTGTAACTTAAGAGGAAGGGTCAGTGTGGAAGGACCCTTCTTTTATTTGTCAGAGAACTTAATTTTCTTGAAATGAAAGTGGAACGTGACCATTTTAGGTCTTCCTATAGTCCCAGCTGGCCTGGAACTCACTATGTAAACCAGGCTGGCCTCGAACTCACAAAGATCCGCCTGCCTCTGCCTCCTGAGTGCCGGGATTAAAGGTGTGGGGCACCTCACCCGGCTACCATTTTAATTCTTAAATGCCAACAAAGAATCCTCAGCACTTGAACTGAACTTTGTGCGTTCCAGAGCCCAGAGACGGTGATACAATATGAGCGTAATAAAATATGTGATTGAGTTGCCATCGCCCTCACTTTGCCCTGACTTAAGTCTCCTGGTTGCATGTGCCTGGGTGTACCGATAGTGATCTGGGAAGCCAGGCTGCTGGGCCCTGAACCGCAGGTGCTTAGCATTGCCCTGCCTTTCTGTGTGTGAGGGTCAGACATTTGTCCTACAGTCCTGTCATGAAGATGAGTAAGATTGAATCAATTCACACTTCCAAAATGCTTTGAACAGACCCTAGCAGGATGTAGGTGTTCAGTAAAGCTTAGTTATTTAATAATACCGTTGTATCAGTTGTAGTATAATTGCTGTAATTCATCAGCATTTAAAATATTGGGGATCTTTTTTTTTTTTTAGAAGTAGTTAGCTGTAATGTAACTTTAATTACAATCGTGACAGTTAAGGCAGTGAACTGTGAGTTTTTCAGCTTTCTTGCCTGTTACTTTGTTTTCAGGAAGCATTAATACCGTGTAGCGGGAGCCTTCTGAGTTCAGTAGGAAAGGCCTCTCTAAAAAGGTTCAAAAGACAAGAAATTGTGTCTTGGAACTTTGGGCTAAGTGGATTGGGCAGAACCTGGAGAAAGGAAGAGAGACGTTTCAGGCCAGCATTAGGAGTAAGTAATTCCAGGAACCAACAATGCATCTCATGCTGACAGTGGGTTGGGGTCAGAGAGGTTTCTAGTGACTCAGTGCTCCACAGCCGACCAGATGTTCTGCAGAGATAAATTTGATGGGTTTTTAAGGAGGATAAAGTTTGTAGGGCTCTATGATGAGATTCGTGCTTTGATTCAGGTCATGATATGAGGTGGAACAGTCAGGTCCAGGTCTAGGTGTCCTCATTACAGGTTTATGAGCGGCGGTGGGGTAGTGGGGCAGTTGGGAGGTGGGGAGTGGGAAAGTGTACTCAAGATGTAGCTCAGTTGGTAGAATGCTTGCCTAGGATTCGTAAGGCCCTGGGTTGGATCTGCCTCATTTAGATCCTGACCAGCCTGGCCTATATGAGACTTTAAAAAAACCAAACAAACAAAAAAGCAAAACCAATAAAGTGGAGGTGGGGGTATGTAGGCCAGTGGTGCTCATGGTGTGGTTATGCATGTTGGGAGTGGGAAGAGGAGAGGTACAGAAAACAGAGTCTATGGAAGTAGCCAGCCATTGTTTCTCTTTTGGAAATTCTTTCCCGTTCAGGATGGGCGGTACTCAGAAGTTTTCACCTTACAACTTAAACGATGTGGGTACCAAATGGTGTGCCCCAGTGGAACTGGGAGGGAAAGAGGCTTTCATTCATGCATTCATTCCACTGAATTCATTCCAACATTTATGTCGCTATTAAATAAGTTCTAGACTTCATATTAGAACCTGAGAATACTGAGCAAGACTGCAAGAAAATCATAGCTAAGGGTTGGAAAGATGGCTCAGCAGTTAAGAGCACTGGCTGTTCTTCCAGAGGACCTGGGCTCGATTCCTAGCACCCACATGACAGCTAACAACTGTCTGTAGCTCCAGTTCCAGGGGATCCAACGCCTTCTTCTGACCTCTGTGGGCATTGCATGGCCTGGGTTCAGTTACGTACATGCAGGCAATATACTCATACACATAAAAATAAAAAGAAATAAAAAAGAAAAAGTCCTCTGCAAGAGCAGCCAGTGTTCTTAACTACTGAGCCATCTCTCCAGCCCCTTGCAGATAGTTATTACTGTGACAAGTGCTTTAACGTAGTGTGCACATGAGGTGTGTGTTCACAGAGAAGGCCTCTTGCTCTGGAAACACTGTTTAGTAAAGAGGTTTCCCCCACTCTCATTTCTTACCCTTCTCTCGTTTTATTTTATTGTCTCTTATTTTCCTTTTGTATGTATAGCCTTTAAAAAATTCTTTATTGAAATTTTTACAATTTTTATGCAACATAATTTGATGGTATTTAGATTCCCTTCCTCACCTATACCTCCCCCAATGCCCCCCATCCAATTCAGTATGCCCCACTATATGTACAATATGGCCTACGGAGTCCATATTGATTTGTGTCTCCGCCCCCATGTCCCTCAGCATGGGTCCATCCACTGGAGCCTGGTCAACCTACCAAGCATCCCATCCTTGTAGGAGACTGTCTCTCTTCTTCCCAGTAGCCATCAGTTGCCAAAAGTTGCTTAGGTTGGATCCTGGGATTTCTTACCCACTTCCCCATGTCTATGCTGAGATTTTGTCTGGTTTGAGTTTGCATGGGACTTGTGCATGCTGTCACCAATGCTGTGAGTTCATATGTATAACTAACCAGATGTCTAGAAAACCTGTTTCCTTTTGGTCAGTCACCACCTCTGGCTCTTACAATCTTTCCTCCCACCCTTCTTCAACAGTGGTTCCTGAGCCTTGGGAGGCAGAGGTTTGAAATAGCTGTCCTATTCAGGGATGAGCACTCTGTGGTCTCTTGTTCTCTGCACATTGGCCAATTGTGGGTTTCTGTGTTAGTCACCATCTGCTGCATAAGGAAACTTCTCTGGTGAGAGTTGAGAGATGAATTCATCTTATGTGTAGAGGTTGCATTGAAGATGTGCTGCTTAGGGCTAATTGTCTCACAGGCCCTTATTTTCTACACTTGACCAGTTGTGGAACTCTGTATTAGTTTCCATCTGTTGTAAAAGGAAGCTTCTTTGATGAGTGGTGAGAGGTACACTTGCCTCAGCTAGTCATTCTCCTGCAACCTCAGTGGGAAGGGACCTATTTTATTTTTGTTTTGCATTACTGGGGATGGAGTTCAGGACCTAGGGCATACTAGGCAAGCACTCTGCCACTGAGCTACACTACCAATCATCCCCCTCCCATTTCTTTTATTACAAGTGTTTATTGTACCTCAAGTGCTTGCCTCAGCCTCAATTTTAGTCCTCAGAACTTGGTGTAGACTTTGGGCATGGACTTAGCCTATGTAGGCTACCCTAGCGCTGGGGGAGCTTACATGTCTGGGCTGGCTGTGGGTTGTGCGTGCTCAGCTCCCTGTCAGCAGTTGGGTTGGTTCTGAGATGTGTTCTATGTAGATCTTCAGGTGCACCCAGCAAGACCGCTACCCAGTTCAGTGTGTTAGCCAGCTCCACCCTAGAGCCCCCCCCCACCCCTCTCCTATCTCTATATCTCTATCTTATCTGTATCATCTATATCTATATCTATGTCTATAATCTATATCTGGTTTTCTGGACCCCCCTTCCTGCCAGCTATTTATGCCAAAGCTGGTTTTTATTTTTAGTTTGACAGGGCAAAGACCACGACATTACGTAGACTGACTCTGTCACCCTCAGGTGGCAGCAAGGACCACCTTGTGCATTGTAAAGTGAAGTAACCCCTGTACTCCAGTGTCACAGCTGTGTGACTCATACAGGTGGCAGCTTGGGGTGAGATCCGGGGAGGAGGGAAGGCAGTGCCCACAGGTGGCCTTAGCTCTTGAGTGGCTATGCCCTGTGGGGATGGGAGGATGGTGGCCTTGGCCAGCTCTTGGCATCTCCCTTAGGAGCATTGAGGTCAGAGAATGCTGGGCTGAGGGCATCCAGATGTCAACACAGAGCACATGTTGAAACATGGGAGGTTCTGTGGCAGCATGTCCTGCAGCTGCGGGCCAGAGTTCAATCACCATTGTGGGGGAACAGCAAAGGAGGCAAAGGCCTTGACAGGTGGCCCTCAAGTTCAAGGTCACAGGAGGGAAGACACCTAGGGGTGGAGAGAATGGGTGGAGTCACTGAGAACTTTGAACTCTCAGGCTTTGAACCCTCTAGGTTCTCAGGGCCAACAAGAATCCTCTGTGGTAGAGGAGAGCAGTTTCACCTAGCCTGGCAGTATGCAGAGCCCTCCCCTGGCACCATGCAGAGCCCTCCCCTGGCACCATGCAGAGCCCTCCCCTGGCACCATGCAAAGCCCTCTCTTGGTCCCATGCAGAGCCCTTCCTGGAGGCCACTGCTTGTTCCTTGTACACTTCAGGATTCACCTCTACCTCCCTCTGACCTCCTCTTCTCCTAAGCTGGGAGGTCTTCAGGTACCTGAGGCTGCAGGAGCTGGCCGATGCAGACCAGCAGGAGATGAGGGACATGTGTGGAGTTGGGGGAGTGGATAGGGAGAATGTGTGAATGTAGGGGTGTTCTCTCTGTCCCAACAGGACAATGGGAACTGATCCTAATATGCTGCCGGACAGCCTTCTTGAAGTTGGATGCCACTGTGACCTGTACCACTGGTTCTCACCCTGGCATGGTTTCGCCTCCTCCAGAGGTGTTTGGCAATGTCTGGATACATTTTTTTGTGGTTAAAACTAGGGTTCTGGGTTTTTACTGAGTAGAGGCTAAGGATGCTAAGAAACCACGTATGATCTATAAAATAGTCCTCAACATAGAC